AAAAAAAAAAAAAAAAGAAAAGGGGTTTGAATTGTTCATGGAGAGGGAGGAAAAAGTAAAGGAGGATGAGAGAGAAAGGGGTGAATTAATGAGTGAAAAGTTGAAACTAGGGATTTTGGTGGGTAAAAGGGAGGGCTATTCTACGCCCTCGCCCACATGGAAATTTGGGTCATCTCAAGAAGCCATAGACTCGAGAAATACACTGTCTGCAAGGCAATTGGGCGCCAATCTGTGGGAAATGCAGGCACAGCTCAATCTCAGAGCTGATGATAAGATGAGCACCAAAAGTGGGCCCAGCTTGAGCCATCCCAAGCAAGACGATGTTTTTGGGACACAAGAAGCTATTAGCCCCTCAAAGCAGGTGAGAATTTGAAGGTTTTTTGGGAACTCCTAAATTTGTGTCTGATTATTTTGATTTGTAAGAAAGAAAGAAAAACAATCTTCGGAATTTGATTGTCTTGTGCTATCTTGTGTTTTCATGTGTTGCTGTGCTTTGGGGGTATTTGTGTTGTTAGCTGAATCTTCTGTTCTTTTGGGGGTATTTGTGCTGTTGGCTAATGGCTGTTGTATGGTCTTTGTTTGTGATATAAAATCCTTATATTGATGAGAGTTAATCAATGCTTACCATCTGATTCGAATCAAGATGAGACTTTCTTGATCAGCTCATATTTCACTTCCTATTGTTACAGCCCACTAACGGCATTAGTCTGAGAAAGCAACTTAAACAATCATCGGCCGCACAACACAATTTAAGAGTCGAGAAAGTCGGGCAAGCTCAGACGCCTCTATCTCCTGCTAGCTACTGTAGCTCGATGGAGGTACGTTTAGAGCTTTCTTTCTTGCTTATCATAAAATCTTGATCTCCTCTAATTGTCCTGAGTAACTTATCGAGATGCGATGTTTGAAAATGATTTAGTTTTTGGGATGTAGTGAAATATTCAAGATTCGCGATTAACAAAAATAATAAAATAAAATCTTGGATCCCTCATAGATCAGAATCTAATTATTTTTCAGGTTAAGTTACAAAAACATACGTATAGTTGTTAAATTACTCGTATAGTCGTATTAGTTTTTGTACTTTCGTTGTTTTCCACTTCAAATAACGACTCGTTGTTTTACTGATTTACCTTTTATTTTTTCTTCACTGCACTCTTAGATGGCTCCCCACAGAGCTACACTCAGCCCACATGGCTCCTTAACCCCAAACGGTAAATTTAAAGACTCGGCCCACGGCGTCAAAACATCCACAGAATTACTCAAAGTTCTCAACAGAATCTGGACCCTCGAGGAAAAGCACGCGCTAGACATGTCTTTAGTCAAGACTCTAAAACGCGAGCTCGGACAAGCCCAGGCCCGAATTCAAGAACTGCTGCAGGACAAAAAAAGGGATCAAAACGAAATCGGCACTCTAACTGCTGGAATAAAGGAACTGAAAGCCATCAGGAAAAATGATCAAGATCGAACTAAAGACGAGAAGTTGCATCTCCAGCTGGCCAGTGAGCTCTCGGCGTTAAAATTGTCATTTTCCCATGTTATGAACGAGCTCGAACGTGAGAAGAGAGCAAGGGCATTGCTCGAGGACCTTTGCGACGAGTTTGCCAAGGGAATAAGAAACTACGAACGGGAGGTTCGGCTCGTGAAGCAAAACTCGGGGGATCAAATTCTACATGAAGGACAAAATGACCGTTTTATCCTCCACATTTCAGAAGCATGGCTGGACGAACGGGCCCAGTCAAAGCTCGAGGACGATCGGGAGAAATTTTCGGAAAAGCAATCGCCTCTGGATAAGCTGTGTCCCGAAATCGAAGCCTTTCTTCGCGAGAAAAAAATCGGTAGAAAAAATCTGGAAACAAATGGCGGGGGCACGTATATCCTGAATGGTCCCACTCGGCGGGAAGGGCATTTTGGGAATTTAGCTGCAAAAAGGGACATGACTGATCTTGAAATGCATAGAAAAAGTGACACGATGCGAAGATCCGTACGGGAAGGAAGGCATAGTATGAAAGGCACGAATTTTGAAAGAGAGGGTACTAAAAGAAACTCATGTTATAATTTTGTCGAAGGCCCATTTGACCCGGCCATGTTTACGGGCCCATCGAGCCCAGTTAAGAAGTGGGTTTCTATGGTATCAGCAGCGGGCCCCAATGCGGGAGAGTCTTCTTCTATGAGATGGTCGAAAGGTGTAAAACCGAATACTTTGAAAGCTAAACTGATCGAGGCGAGATTAGAGGGCCGGCAGTCTCGGGCGAGGATTTCTAGAAGTTCGTCGAGAGGCGATTAGAGTTTGTAAGCATGAAAAATTGTAGTTTTATGAGAGGAATTTGGAGTCTAGATTAAGGTTATTCTGTACATTTTTAAGCAAAGGTTATCACTCTCTTTTCTTTCTTTGCTGTGTGAAATATGTTGGTTCTTCCCCTTTTTTTTTGGCAGTTTAAGAGAAATTTTAGTTACATGCTTTAGAAGATTTTTAGTTCTTTTGTGTTTGGTTACTGAAAGTCTGGAATGTTATGTTGTCAGCATTTCTGGTGCGTGTTTTAAGGTACACAAATGAGTTGATTTTTTGGCCTATTATTATATTATGGGAAAATCTATGGCCGTTACGGGAAATGCTACGGTTCTGTTACGGTATCATCTCGTTGGGTGCTTTAACCGTTGGATTAACTATTTTATATTAAATACATGTATATCTAACGGTTAAAACACTCGACGGGATGGTACCGTAACGAGATCGCAACTTTAGATAAGGTTAAAATACCCGACGGGATGGTACCGTAACGGGATTGCAGCATTTTAAAAAATACAAGGTAACATAAAAATACAATAGTGAAACACATATACGACTTGTTTGATGATCGGGACTTAAATTTAATGAGCCGAGCATATGAATGGTTCTATTCTTTACTCAATAAAAATAAAAACCCGGCCCACATGAAAGATCCTTGGGGGCCATGCCGCTTTTCTGCGAAACCTTAAAAAGCGCATAATATCGTAACACGACTTTCAGTGCGATGTTTCAATAACTGTGTTTTCTCTGTCGCAGCATACACAGAGCAAGTGTAAGTCGCGCTAATGGCGGCAGCGTCATTCAGGTACTTAGTGCAGCTACACAAGGACGTCCCCAAAGCGGCGAGATTCTACTCCGAGGGCTTGGGGTTCACCGTCAATGTCTGCACTCTCCGGTGGGCCGAGCTTCATTCCGGCCAGCTCAAACTTGCGCTCATGCATTCTCCCAGGTCGATTTTGGCGTTTTTTGGAAAATTTCAGTTTTTGTTGTTCGATCAAAGCAATTGGTTGATGGGTTCTGCGCATAATGATATAAAGAGTGGTGCTTTGTTTGATTATGCAAATGTAAATACATTTGTGAAAAATCGCAAGTTTTGGGGATTTCTAATTTTCTAATTTTGATATTGAAATTCGTGGGTTAAGGGTTTGGATTTTCGAGAATGGTAATGCTAGAAATATTTCTGATTGGTAACAACAGTATAAACAGAAAGTATTGACATTTCATACATAAGGATGCATTTTTTCTGTTAGAAAAGTATGATAGGTCGACCCGCCTAATCGTTAGGCCGCCTCACACAAGAACTTGTGTTTATGATTTCATGACTGGTTCTTGGAATGTGGGAAGGAAAGTATGACTAAAATGTATTCACAACTATGATCAATTGAATTTCTTTTTTGTTTCTTTAGCATTGTGATTTTCGTTTGTGGTACGGATATCACTTTTTGTGTCGAACATCAAAGTTTTCAACTTGTGGATGCAGAACATTTGTTTTGGTGATATTGATGTGGAGAATGCTGGAATAGCCTAAAATTTGGTTCATATATAGAGTAGATGTATTGCAATAGATGCAGAACATACGTGGGACAACTTTTCATAGCTAAATTTTGTTACCGTTGTATTAATAAGATTGATAAGCTAGCTCCTAATCCTTAATGCAAATTAAGTCATTAGTTTGATATTTAAGATTTTATCCACCACTTAATCATATATCTTCTTTAAGAGGTGAAGTCACTCATCATGTATATGAAATAACTTTTTCACTTGCTTTTCAGTGAAAATGTTGAGCAAAAGGGTTATTCAGCTCTGCTATCGTTTACAGTTACTGACATCAATAGTACCGTGACAAAATTGATGACCTTGGGCGCAGAATTGGATGGGCCAATTAAATACGAAATACACGGAAAGGTAAATTTTTCTACGAACTATCTCTCTTGATTTGCTTAAAGTTCAGAGATTATAGGAAGACGTGAATTCCTATCAATACAAAAATGTGATTGTCGCATTTTGGCTGCGGCATATTACTACATTGGATTTATGTTCTGCTTCACTAAAGCTTAGTCTTACTCAAGAATATACGCTCTTTTTCGAAGGCTTCTATCTCGAGTTTCTATTTACAGAGCATTACTGCATTTTTTTCCTGCTGTACCATGAAACATTTAAACCTTAAACTTCAAAATTTTATTTTCTGAAATAAATTTGATGCTAGTCTATATATAGTTGTATTTACAGTTGGCGGCAATGAAATGTGCTGATGGGCACGTGCTGGGACTTTACGAGCCCTCTTAGAGGATGATGCTTTTAAGGTTCACAGATAATTAAAGGTATATATATAGCAGTCTTGAATCGAAGGATGGGTGATATACATAATGTTTTATGATGTTTGATTCACATTTCTTTCTATCTTTTTCTTTTTGCAATTTTTTGCACGAATTTCGTAAACTATACCATTCGATAGATAGACAAAACTATCCTTCACTTTGGAGTTCGGTAAAACTTTTGCAGCGTTTTAACAAAATAATCTATATCTATATAATGGACCAATCCTTATTGACTATTGCCATACTTGGCATGATTTTGGGCAGGAAATGTTTTTGTCTATATTTGGCATTTAATTAATATTTATTTATTAGCAAATATTATGCATGAAAAAACATAATTAATTTTTATACACTCAATGATTATTACTCATTAAGTACAAATTGTCTTAAATTAAAATTTTGACCATAGATTTATTATATATCTTTTCAGTAAGATCTTATATTAATTTAATAGTAATTTATTGTCACATTTCAAAAAATTATTATGGGAATTGATTTGATTAAATATATTATCATCTATGGTTGTATGTGTTAATTTAATTAATTATATTCACTATTCATAAGTACGTAAAATATTTAATAAAATAATCAAAATAACTATGTTTCAATTATAATAACTTAATAAGTAATTTAAAATATTAGTAAAAGTTTATAAAATGTAGTCAATTTAACTATAAAAAAGTACATCCCCATTGAATATATCATATGCAGTGATAATAGTAATACTATTGAAAATTTAAATAATATACTAATAAAAATAAAATTTGTAGGTCGAGTACAATTCATAATTATAAATTTCACCTTAGTAGTATCTATGTACATTAAAAAACTATTCAAATTTTAAAAATATATATATATTTTCGTATATACTATTTTATAAATGAAAAATATGTTAATAAAAAAGCAATTTATAATAATATAAAATATAGCACTTGGTAATTATAGAAATATATAATATAGCTAAATATTCGAATAGATACTATCTAACTCATTATATAAGTTGAAAAAAATATTTAAAAAAATAAATATAAATAAAAAACGGAAACATAAAAATAAAGTATTTAACCATAAAAAATTTGTGTGTTGCATAAGGATTAAAGTTACTAAAAATTTAAATTTAATTATCACATTTTTTAACATTTCGTGCATTTAATAATTATAGCGAAAGATAAATATTATGGGTTAAATGTTGGTCAATTATCAAGCAATGTGCAAATTATGAATTGTTAAAAAAATTATAAGACTATGATAAAAGACAATTTTATAAGTACATAAAAATAATTTGTATGCAAATATCACATGATCTTATAATTTATATAATATTTCATAGACTTATAAATAATAAAATTTATATATTAAATAGTCAAAAACTAAAACTATATATATACATATAAATAGAAATTAACAATAATAGAATAAATAAATGTCATATTATTACTGAATAGAATATTGTTGAAAATATAATTTCATATTGTCATTTTAATAAAAATTATTTTTGTATTGCACCCCGTGCATCGCACGGGTATCAACACTAGTGCCTTGAATGAGAGATTCACAAATACTATTCTTGGGCTACCTTACCATTACTTTCTGATAAAAGAAAAAAAATGCATACTTATATCATAATATATAAAATCTCGTACTTTTATTTATATCGTGTTTTTAAGTGTGGCGATTGACGTTAGAGTATGAAAACATTTCATCGGATTTGTTATATTACGACTTGAGCCGTTATATTATAACCTTCCCTACATCATAAACACTACATTAAGTTTACGGAACTTCCAACGAAATTAGTTGGAAACTTCTCACCTCCAAAGCAATATGACAGATGGTACTCAAATTTGCTGGTCGTATTGATATATCGATTTTCTTTCTGAATATGGGGACTTATGGTCTTTCATTATCTTTTCCATTGGGTTATGAAGAATTCCATATTTGATTTTGCGTTTAGACTGCGAAATTTGAGATCTAAAATCGATCTAGATAATCATAAAATCGATGTGATCACTTGATATTTGTCCATGGTTTACTAATTTCATCTCTTAGATAGATTTTTTTGAACAAGTCACATTTTCCAAGTGATTCATGTGATAACTTTGGGGGCTATTTGTAATTTAAATATCAGCTTACTTTTCTTGCAACTTGTCCAAAGCGTGCATCATCACAACTTTATCCTAAAAAATCTAACTTCATATGCATTGGCAAGAATTTTATCTGACACTGCAAATGAGCTGAGCCGAGCCGAGCCGAGTTGAATGAAGCATTGGTCTTATTGAGCTAAGCTCGGTTTTTTTCAATATTGCTCGAGCTCGACGAGTTCAACTTTTCACCGCTCGACTCGAATAGGCAAGAATTTACAAGTGCTCGACTTCGGTTCAAATTTTTTTTTTTCGAATTTGGCTCGAGTTAAGGGTATTTATGTAAATCGTCAAACACTCGAGCTTAACATACATACGTGAATTCAAGTTTGAAGTGCTCGAGCTTGACTCAGCGTTCAGTTGAACTATTGGTATCACTCCATTCTTTTGTAGCCCTAATTATAACTACAATGAATAACTCAATGGACAAGAAAGAAATATTGATCTAATTTGATAGGCTAATAGTTCAATGAATGTGCAAAGTCCACGAACGTCAATTTGACGCGCAAAATGTGGTGCCTAAATAACCTTACCTTTGACCATGAAGGCTCCAAAGGACAAATTACCATCAATTTCATGGTTGCCTCGAAAATAAGCTAATTTTTAAGGACCACCAATAGCAATTGAAATTGTGTTCATAATTCTGACTTTTCTCGTCGTGGATTAAGGGGTAAACAATAGACATAACTTTAGATAAACTCTTTCAACTTTTATCTCAAGACTAAGAATAAATAACAACACTAGCTTTGTTTAGGAAAATGTTAATTAAGTATTTATTTAGTTTCATATGGTAACACTTGCTCAAAATTAAGAAAAAAAAATAAAAATACTAAAACTATTCGGTTAGGTAGATCATATTCGAATATTTAGGCAGACCCACCAGTTAGATCATTTTAGTTTTTCAATAACTATCTCTGTGATTATATGATAAACGGTTACAAATCTCTGCAGAATGATTCCGTAACGAGACCTTAGTATTTTCACAAAATAATGGCATGTCGTGACACAATAACATGAGTATTATATTTAATAATATGAAGGATCGACTCATCTAATAGTTAAACTAATGATAAAATAATTTAGGTTTGTTAGACTTAGACATATATTTAACAGTTTAGACAACAATTTGGGCCAAGTTTTTATTGAAAATGAGGAAGCAATAAATAAATAAGAATTTCAAAACAACAGACTTTTATAAGTAAATAATTTAGGTTTGTTAGACTTATTTCTTCCCCAACTCGCGTTTCCAATTGCCTTTCATTGTTTTTCTGTGATAACGAGAAGCTTTTTCATTGTTTGGAGAGAGAGAGAGAGAGGTTGAGGTTGATGATGCCTTGGGGTTTGGATCTATTCGACCCGAGGACCGCCACAATGGAGTCGGACTCAAGCTCGTCTCCGACCGGCGGCCGTGACCCGGACTTCGGGTTCGCCTTCAACGACAGCAATTTCTCCGATCGGCTCCTCCAAATAGAGATTGTCGCCGATCCGCCCGACGGCCAAACGGAGCCGGAGGGCTGCCGGACCCTGGCTGATTGGGCGGGGAGAAAGAGCAAACGACAACTTGAGGAGAAAAAGGGGAATGGTGAGTCAGTTTCGAGTCGACCTGTTTGGTGATTTTGGTTTGTTAATTCTAGGTTTTGCGTGAGTTTTTATGGGAAGGAGCCTGTAATGCTATTGCATTTCTTATGGGGTTCAAAATATGGGTGAGCTTGGTTTGAAAGAATACCCTAGCTAATATTGAACAATAAAATTGATGTTTTTTTGTACAATTTTCGTGCAATTGTTCGACCTAGAGAGCTGTGTTTTTCTAGTGTATGAAATGAAAAGGTATTTGAAGTTGTCTCTGCTTATTCTCTAGCGTGTGAAGCTCAAACTAGCTTTTAGTTATAGCTGAATCTCAGCTTTGGCAAGTAAGTTTTATATTGCGGACAGATTAATTGGTTGTATATGGGATGTTAGTAAATTTAACGTAATTTAAAAAATGTGTGTGGTTTGTCCAACAGAATCAGCCAGAAATGAATCTGGTCAATGAACAGGGTAAAAAAGCCTGTTTGTGTTTTCCGAGTTTTGCGGCTCGAGTGACGTCAGCCATGTTTATAGCGAATTCACCTTATCGGCCAAATTGTTTATTGAAAGAAAATAAATTTATCGTCTTTGTGCTTGAGATGTGTTGTTTAAGCTTCACCGGCTCATTTGTGGAGTTGGATTATTGAAAAATGTGTGTTTGAATCATGGTATGATTTATGTTTAAATTACGTATTTAAAGCATTGATTAATGTGCAGTGGATTTAGTTTAGATTAATTGCGAGGCATGAGTATGAGTTTAGTCAATTTGTTGTGTTTTTCCTTTCTTTTTTCCTCACATGCATCTTCTACTACTACTAAATTCTTATGCTGTTAAGTTTTTCGCTCATCTTAATCAGACACATGCCCCTCGTTTGCAGCATTGGATATCAACAATTGTCCGGAAGAGCAGATCTTGGATTCTCAGCAGCCAGATGTCGATGATGTTAATGACGGCATCGGTGATGAGAATCACGATGAAGAAGAGATTCCCATGATAGAAGATTCACCACCAGGTAAATTCTCATTTGTCAACCCAAGTCATCATACTACATTTCTCGTTTATGGAGCATTAACGTTTCATATCATTGTGTGTTTTTCTGACTTTGGAACACATGTTATTTGTCCCCAGTTGATGAATTTGCAAACAGTGATGATACCACTTGTTATGAAGACTGTGCAACAGTTTTAAGAGTTAAAACATTGCATATTAGTTCTCCCATCTTAGCAGCAAAGAGTCCCTTTTTTTACAAGGTACTTTTATCCTTTTTTTATGGTCAGTTCATTCTCCTTTTCTTTCTAAGGTAGGGAGTTTGACTTCTCTTTTCTATTCTATCCAGTTATTCTCAAACGGTATGATGGAATCAGAACAGAGACATGTAACTCTGAGAATTTGTGCCTCTGGTATGTAAAAACAGTTGATTCATGCAATTAAGTTTACCTAAAAATTTGCCCAAAATGTACGCTGACTCGATTCCCTGTGAAACAGAGGAAAATGCCCTTATGGAGCTCCTGAATTTCATGTATAGCAACACATTGGCTGCCAATACAACTACTGCTCTGCTCGATGTGCTCATGGCTGCCGACAAATTCGAGGTGGCTTCTTGCATGAGATATTGTAGCCGCCGCTTGAGAAATCTGCCTATGACTCCCGAATCTGCTTTACTCTATCTGGAACTCCCTTCGAGCGTACTCATGGCTGATGCGGTTCAACCGTTGACCGATGCAGCTAAACAGTTCCTAGCTGCTCGTTATAAAGACGTGTCAAAGTAAGTATCCTTGATAAAAATGAATACTATTCCTTGTTTTATCTTTTCTTTCCATAGCCGATTTCTGATTTCCGCCTTTTGCGGATTTATGCCTCTTCAGTATTTAATTAATATAATTGAATAATTAATCATTTTCACACATCACATCAAATTTGGTTCATTAATCATCACTCACATAACTTTAACTACTCATCACTTCCAAAGTTCCAATCACATATCTCCTACTTTTAGATTAAATCTACTTTAATTGTTTTGTTTTAAATACTATTTTAATACCCAATCACACCCTATGTAATCTTTGAAAC